TTAGGGGGCGTTTAGGGTTTAGGGTTTAGGGTTTCGGGGGGTTTTGGGGTTGAGGGTTGAGGTTTGGGGTTCGGTCGGACTTTCGTCAGAAAGTGTCAGCCAGCAGGACTTCTGCCTGCGGTTTAGGGCTTGGGGTTTAAGGGAATGGGCTCTGGAGAGGTCTAAAATGGGCATTGGGTTTAGGGTTTGGGTTTGTAGGGTGTGGGGTCTAGGGTTGAGGGAGAAGAGAGACAGGGATCGCTGCAAGGAGATAAGACTTTCACTCACCTGAGCCCTTCAAGAAGAATCCCTAAACCCTAAACCCTAAACCCTAAACCCTAAACCTTAACCGTCTCTAAAGGAAGGACAAGCGGTCTGTCAAGGCTCCCTTCAGTTTCCACGGAGCGTAGGTGTTTTCTGAGCTTTCGCCTGGATACTTAAGCTGCAGATGCCTGTGTTTCCCCTCGTTTCCTACGTTGCTGAGTAGGTGGCCTCCGATCTTGTCTTGACATGTATATATATGTATATATATATACATACACACATGCATAGATTCGTATGTATGTATGTATGTATGTATGTATGTATGTATGTATGTATGTATGTATGTATATGTATGTATGTATGTATGTATGTATGTATGTATGTATGTATGTATGTAGGCATGTATGTCTGTATGCATGTAGGGCAGGCAGGTACAGCCTTATCAGAATTACGTGCACCTTGTCGGGGTGCAGAGCCTCTGTCGTCAAGAGGCCGTGAAGATGCGACAGGAAGTGACAATGCTTCAGTGCGTCGAGGACCGGGTGTCATGCAAAATCCCTAAACCCTAAACCCTAGACCCTAAGCCATAAACGCTAAACCCCAAACCCTAAACCCTAAACCCCAAACCCCAAGCCCTAAACCGAAGCCCTCAAGCGCTAGGCCGATTGGTCAACTGCAACCCCTGCCACATAAACCAAGAACCCCACCGAAGGCCGTGAAGCCCTGCAAGAGGGGGTTTAGGACGTTTAAGTTTAGGGTTTGGGGTTTAGGGTTCAGGGTTTACTTCGTTTAAGTTTAGGGTTTTGGGTTTATGATCGTTTGTTTAGGTTTAAGGTCTCTAGGGCTTGTAGAGTTTAACTTTATCGGGGCGCTGCAGGGGTACCACACCCTAAGCCACCAATACTCGGGTTTGGAGTTTAGGGTTTAGGGTTTTGGGTTTTGAGTTTAGGGTTAAGGGTTAAGGCTTTAGGATGCTTTTGGGTCGTGGGTTTAAGGCCAAGTTTAGGTACCTCCAACAAGACTTGCCGCTGGGTTGATCTGGAACTGAGAGGCTTCAGTAAAGGATTCCTTTACGGGATCCTTTAAGAGTTCCCTTTCAGGGATCCTGTAAGGGTTCCCTTAAGGATTTAAGGGTTCCTTGAAGGGATCCTCTAAGGGTTCCCTTAAGGGTTCCGTTACGGGTTCCGCTGCGGGATCCTTGAAGTTTAACATACCTTTAAGGGTTCCTCGATGGGTGTAGTTTTGGGGTACAGGCGCCCCCGGCTAGAGCACCCTAAACCCTAAACCCTAAACCCTAAACCCTAAACCCTAAACCCTAAACCCTAAACCCTAAACCCTAAACCCTAAACCCTAAACCCTAAACCCTAAACTCTGTTGCAAGGAAGGTTTCTTTTCGAAAGGTCCCACTTTTGGAGCCTCCAGGGCCTTACGGCAGGAATTAGGTTAGGGTTTAGGGTTTAGGGTTTAGGGTTTAGGGTTTAGGGTTTAGGGTTTAGGGTTTAGGGTTTAGGGTTTAGGGTTTAGGGGTTAGGGGTTAGGGGTTTAGGGTGTAGTGTTTAGGGTTAAATCTTGGAAGCCGCATACGATGGAGGGTCCGCAAGTCTCAGGGCTCAGCGTTGTTGCTGTGGCTGTTTTTCAACGGAAACGGTGTTCCGTGACAAGCAGTGAACAAGAAGGAGTATCGTCCTTGGCTCCTGTGGTCGAAGGGGTTTAGGTGATTCGAGTCTAGGGATCAGATTCGAGATTAAGGTGCAGCAAATCCTCCCACGATCCGATTCGTTCGTTCAGGCCTTCATGCCACCCAGAAAGCAACTAATATCGAAGCCTAAATAATTACTAATATTTCTGTTCGGGTTCCTGATTATAGATATACTTTACAGGAGCCCAAAACCTTATAATTATTAAGGCCTACATTAGCCTTCAACCTTCAACGGCCGCTGTTAGGCTTGAAGGTTTCGGGCTTCGCGTTTTGAGCAGTCGAGTTTGGTTGGCCTACTTGTTGGTTTGGTTTAGGGTTTAGGGTTTAGGGTGGGCTTTCAGATTCCGAAGTGTAGCCTGTACCCTGCCACTCTCTACCGGTTGA